GAGTTGTGTAGAAAAGACATTTTGCCTCACTGAAAATTCATCTAATAATAGGACAAAAGTAGAGAAGTGTTTGCTTTATCCAGTTTTATTCAGTTTGAATGCAGTGTCAGGTACGTCTCACAGAGGTCATTATAGGAAATAATGCTTTTACAATGATCTGTTTATGCTAGATCTTAAACACTGCATTTTTACTATTTTTTTACAAAGTCTGAATCATTATATAATGTATTCAAATCAGAGCTCTTTTCACCTAAGTGAAAAGAAATTTCTGGATTCTTGTCTTGTTGTGTACTGTTTTTGTTAGCAGATTTGCTGCTGGAGAAAGCAGCAGTTATGATAAAAAGGATTATATAAGAGATCTCCTGCTGTGAGAGTCTGTGGCACTGTACAGGGTGATACCAAACACTGTATTCCCCAGGGCAGGTACAATAATTAGCCACAGGACTGGCACTCAGTCTGGGGGATTAATTAGTACTGGAGGTGGTGTTGGAGAGAGGCAGAGCAGCCATAAAGAGTGTCAGGATCACTCTGGCCTGAAGCCTCTGTGATTTGATGTGAAATAGCAGCAGCTGGCTGTAACCTTAGGAAGTGCAAGAGAACAGCAGGTGGTAATTCCTGTCTCATTTACCATGTCTTCGCAGGAACATGCAAGCTTGTGCAGCTTGGGTTTATTGGCAGGTCAGAAGGAAAATCCTAGAGAGGACTGTGACATTTACTATGCTGAGCAAATGCAGCAGTCAAACTGGAGTGTGTGGAGCACAGTGTAAAACCAGTAACACCGCTGCCTAATGTTATCATACTTGCCTCTGACAAGGTTATGATGACCTTACAATATTGACCTCATGTGGACCAATGGACAGAGCTGAGAGTACTGTGAAAAATCTAGGATAGCTAGTGGGAATTACATCCTTCAAGGCTGTGATGAATGTAATAGGATAACTATTTCATCTAATTAAAAAATCAGACAGGGGGAATGTTACGATGTTCTGGCATCCCTTGTTTTTCTCAATAGCCATTGTATGGGGCAAATAGGCTTTACCTGCACTTTCAGGTGGGTAATGCTGTTCCATGACTGTTGGCCTCCATCAGGCATCGTGTTTTGCTTGGCATTTGGGCAAAAATGGCAGTGAGGCATGCAGCAACTGTGCTAATTTAGAAATTGTAACCAGCTAGCATTTCAGGGTGAGCTTGAGTAGCTGTCAGCAGAGGAATTTAGTAGACCAGTGGTCGCTGTTGATGACTGTAGTGTTTTGTATTCTGTTAGGGCCTCCCAGGGTGTGGAACAAGAACCCTTCCTATGTGCAGTTCAAGAATCAAACCAAATAAAGAGAAAATTGAGTAACTTTGAATTCGTCGTTCAGAACAGCTTTCGATAGGGAAAAAAAAATAAAACAGATCCAGGGGATATTTGTGGCTATATTTATAGCAGAGTGACAGGAAAGGAAGAGAACTCTTTTTGTGGCAAGGATAGCTCTTTTTATGCCTTTTTAGAAGCTCATTGTGTGCCAGCATTATCCTTCATGGATGCCAGAGGGTGCAATGCCTTCTAAAGCCTCCCACACATGCAAAAACTGTGGACCTATTGTAGTGTCTTTGCTGGGTTCCATTTGGTGTTCCCATGTTTCTGGCTCTTTCCAAAGACACATGTTACTCATGGGGAGATGATCCAGGTCCAAACTGGCATTGCATGTGTCTGACTGTTGGGTCTAAGATTATGACCACTTTGGGCAAAGGAAGGAAAGCTTTGTTCTTCTGGGGAACAAGCTGGAAGAAGTAACTAAGCTGCAGATGGAAGAATGGGATGGACCCTTTTCTCATGTGTTGTTCATGTTGTAGGCAGAAAATTGCAGTAGTGACAGCTAATCTTGAATTTGCCTGTGTGGTGTTGGGAAGCTTTGGGAATGCTGGGGCTGGACTGTGAAGTGCTGAATGTAAATGGTTCTGTGTACAGCTACACAAATCTTTGCAAAGTCTTTCATTTCGTCTCAAGGAGAAAGAAAACCTTTCATGACAAACCACTGAATTTCTGAATAAACACCTTTCTTAATTAATTCTCAGTTCTCCTTCATGTTGAAGATGAAATAAAATTAATACGAGTTTTAAACATTAAGTTGCCAACATGCTAATTTAGAGGTAACTGAAAATTACTGTGCTGTAATTCTAAAGACTGATGAGTAAAAATGAAGTTGTTTAAAAATTTTCTGTTTATCCATTTTTTCAATAAATGTCATTTATTGCTTGCTATTCAGATTTATCTTATTATGTAGGTTTCTTGTTTGTGCTTGTTTCCATTACATGGGTGTTGCAGTTTTATCTAGAGGAGAAATAGATCATGTGCACAGCAGGGCTAATGAGTCACAGATGTAAAGATTCTGACACATTACTCTCTAATAGCTTCTTTAATTTATATTCCATAATAAGATAAATGAAAACTTGATACATCTGTTTCCTAAGTGATGTATCATTCCAGTCTATCAGTGTCTCAGGAGTGAGTCCCTTTATATGTTGTGAGTTTTAGCCTTTTTTGGTTTTGTTTTCTGTTTATTTGTTTCTAAAGAGGAGATTTCAGGTCACTGAGCAATGCAGTTACCCACATTGTGGTTCATCCCAGTGAAGTGGGAAAGCTGCATTTAGCCACTGGCTTTATAGAATCAACTTACAGCTTCATCTCACGGGTGTAGAGCAGGAATAAAAATGCTAAATGCAACTCCAAGATGCTACTGAAGTACATGTATGCATCAAAAAGTAACTCTGCCTTTTCTGTAAAGACTGGTGCAGTCTTTGTGATCCACAGGCTCTCTGGTGTGATGAACAGAGCAAGTATTTGCCACATTAAAAGAATCTGCTGCAGCTGAGAGACCTGGCAGGCTGCCCTGGCTTTTGGTGCTCCCCAGCAGGCCAGCTGGGCTGCAGAGAGCTCATGTGCTCCAGCAGCATGGGCTGCACCAGCAGAGCCTTCAACACAGGACTCCTCAGAATGGCCCTTGCCTGGCAGCAGGAGCCGGGTGCAGCCTTCCCTTTAGGAGGTGCTAAGCTGGCATATGCAGCTCTTTGCTCCAGGAGGAGCCCCCAGAGGGGCTGTGCTGCCAACTCTACCTCATAAAGGTGGTCTGTGGCCATACAGAGGGCTTAGAGCTCCCTGGATGTATTTTATTGAATGTTCCTCAGCCTAATGTCTCTCTGCCATTGAACAAGCCTCTGCTTCTTACAGTGTGTGCCATGCTAAAGGCGAGGAGAGGACTTAGGCATTTCCTCCTCTTCAGGAATTCACTGCTCAACTGCATAAGGTTTTGGCTTTATCAAAAGGTTTAATTCACACCCTACAAGGCAGCTCAAGAAAGGTGTTGAACTGAGAACAAAATTCACCCCCTTATAGTGTGACAGCAGGCCACAGTCACCACACTCTTCCCTTTTTGTGCCAGTACAGTACAAGATCTGCACATCTTGGTAGAGTAGAATATGAGAAACCATATGTGGCATATAGCAACTAAGGGGGTAAAAATGGATGTAAAAATTCTGCTCTGTATGTCTTGAAAAGTTTGACCACAGTCATTATGGACGACCCAAGATCTAGCAGTAGATTTATGTTCAGTGTTGATAGTTGTGTATGTGCTGCCAATTTATGTGCTGAATGTCATATGTTAAACAGAATGTGAAGAGCAGGATATTAATTATGTAAAGCTCTTCAGAGTATACTGTCATTGCTGTCAGTTTCTGCAGCAATCCAGAGTCAAGGCTTTCCACATAGATCTCAAAGTTCAGTAGTACATTTCAATTGAAAATGGCTCAACCGTCTGCTGGCTGATAGTCTTAACAATTTTCAAATTATCATAACAATTCATTGTAATTTTAAGTAAAAACACCTTCATGGGATTGCTCCTTCTAAAATCTCTTGATATTCTTGTTGTGAAGTCTCAACTTACGTCTGCAGTGCAGTGCAGACCTCGCTCTGTTTCCCATATGACAGAGAGGCCGTTCCCTGTCTGTCGGCAGTGTGGGGTGTACTAAACGTGGTGTTTGCTCTGTTTGTCTGTTAGTAAACTGTCTCTGTGATGTTTGTGCTGTGCTGTTCTCGTACCATGTTATGCTGTGTCCCTAGGGTCTGCCAGGCTTCCCCACAGTTGCTGCTCTGCACAGTAATCAGATCCTCACCGTCAAGGTTTGTGGTTGACATGTACCTGTTCAGTCAGGTCTCTCTGTATCAGCATAAAAGTGCACATGAAAAATTGTTTTTAACATGAAATACCAGTGAATTCTTGTGGTGCATCTAAGCCAACCCTCACTGCCTTTGCATTGATCTAAGTACTTCTGATGCAGAGCGTGGAATCAAATCTATAACTGTGTACCCCTGCAAATGCCTACATTCCCCATGGTCTTGGTCAGTATTTTATTTTCAGATGAGTTTTTTCTGTTGTTCTGCTTCCCTGAGGCATACATGAGTGTGGAACATGTCAGTGAACTCTATACTGGTTACACATAAAGTCAGATATTTGTGTTAGATATCAGAGATATCCAGATTTTTTCAAAGTGGATTTGCAAATTAAGCAGGAAGCAATCTGGTCAAGCTGGAACTTCAGACCTTATAAAAATAACACCATTCTTCATGGCACACTATGCTGGTTAGAAAATCTGACTGAAAGTTGAACTGGTGCTTTGTCTCTAGAAGCTTTGCTGAAAGAACAATATATAAAAATACTGATTTTTAGAGCCTGAGTAATGAAAAAACTAATACACATGCAGAATTCTCATGCAAAATCTGGGGAGAAAACAGTTATGCATTTATGTCACTGTATATGATTTAAATCATAGCAGTATGTCCTGTACTTTATTTTTCCAAAATAAAATGCACAGTTTCTTTCAGGCAGAAGCACCAGTTCATATTATAATAGCTGTTACAAATCTAATGAATATGTCTTTATTTCTTTCTCGGGCCTTCTGATGTCTATTCTTCAATTCTCTCATCTCTGACCTTCAACCTTTGACCTCACCTGCCTGATCAGATGGTGTTTCCTAAAATCAATCATGGGTTTCTCTCTGCTGATCAGCAGCTCATTAAACGCCGCCTCATTAAGGTAGTGCTTCATCTCGCTGGAGTCTGGTTCTTCTTTACATTCAGTTTACTCTTTGCTGTACCTTTTTGTCAGATGCCTTCTTATAGCAGGTTGTTCACTTGAAAATGCTTTGAAATGAAGCAACTGTTAATGGTATTAACAGTTAAAATACTGTGGGTGGCTTTGCTAAGTGAGCCATGTTTGAGATGCCAGCAGCTTTTTTCCAGTGGTTTGCAGTGATGTGCTGAAAATAACTAAAGCACCGTTTGGGGCTGTCTTTTCTTTTTTAGAGGGGAAGGTAATATGTTTTGGCAACTCTCTTGAAAATCTACTTTAACAAATTAATAGATAAAAATGAAGAGAGTTAGCTAATTGTCACTATAAAACAGCCTCCCAAAACAGATGGAAAATTATGTACAACTCCATCAAGAAGGAGTTATTTTCCATGCTCAGTTTTGAAATCTATCCATGTATCATTCATGGGCTTGGAAAATTGCTGTGCAAATCTGTATATTTCTCAGATGTGACTTTTCTTCTTCGCCTCAGCTTTGTTATGATTATGCAAATCATGAAGCAAACAGATGCTTATCAAAAACAGTCACTTGCTCGGAGAACTAGATGAGTAAAATATTTCAAGACCAACCCAAATTTTTGTCATATGTGCTGTGGTAAAACAAGCAGTTTAGAACCTTCTGCTCTGTGGCTGATTGCATTGGACCTATACAAACTGTTGGTCTTCAAGGCAAAGTGCTGTTTCTGCCATAAGCAGTGAAGAAGCCACTGCCCACTTCATAGCAGCTTCTTCCAGCCTGTCTTGCACTCTTTGTGGGTGAATTGATGTGTTTTTGTGCGGTTGATGCCTCTAAAGCCAATTTGTGATGAGTTTTTTATTGGTTTAGGGGGACCAAGGACAAGCTGGACCCCCTGGACCTCCAGGGCCACCAGGACCCAGAGGTCCCCCAGGAGATACCGGCAAAGATGGTCCTCGTGGGATGCCTGGCTTAACGGTGAGTTACTCTGTCGCTGCTTTGGTGTGCACATTTCTCTCAAGTGTACGCCAGCGGAGTGTCAAAGACATTTTCTCAGGTCAGATTGGCAAGTAAGACATGTGGAAGCTGAACCACAGGCAGGTCTCAAGGTGTAGCTGAAGTCCCACACACACAGAACAAGTGTATAGCAGGGCCAGAAGTAACGCCAAGCTTCCTTGCCTCCCACGCCTGGCACTTTCCCTACACTTTCTAAGGTTTCTCAGTGATGTTTAATAGCTGTGTGAGGAGAGTCTGCCCCTTTCCATGAGTAGTAAATGTTTCTATTCAAACTTCAAGATAAAACTGAATTTGAGACCTCACAGCATGGATGTGCTTGACTTCTCACTTCTTAATGATTTAACCTCAAAAGTCATGGAATAAGGTAATAAACTGCTAAAGCTGCCCAGGGTATGATGAAGTTTGGAGTTAGATTCTGCCATCTTTAAACAAGAAGAACAGTACCATTTTCTTTGGCTCAGCCCCATACTTCATTAGGATAAGCAGCAGAATCCAGTACATTGTGTATTGTTTGTTTTAGGCACAGGATGAATCCCACACTTTTTAAACAGATGCCTAAACACATGACTTTTTAGAAAAGTATGTGTTTGATTTTAGTTTCATATTTCGTGGCCTCCTTAATTTTTATTCCCTTGAAAGAAGTATCTCTCTTTTCACCATGAATGGCACTGTGTTATCAGTGTGGAAAAGGAATCACAGGCAGGAGAGAGACATGAAAAATGAAATGGCACATGTACAGATGCACACACACATTCACATCCTTGAAAAGTGAAGATTGTGGCCAAGAAGGCACATGAGGAACCAGCAAGTTGAGGACCAGCACTGGAAACAGAAACTGGTTTCTTGAAGAAAAAGCATCACTTGTTACATGAGGCCAGGACAGCATAAATTTTTCCTGCAGGGCCTTTTTAGCTAAAACTGAGAAAGAAAATACCTACACTCCTTTTCTAACCCTATTCAGGTATTAACTGTCTAAATGTAATACAGCATGGTAATAGTAAGATGCTGCTAAAATTTCCTGTGAAATCCAGCAAAGCTGGCTGGTTGAGACATCTAGGACTCTAGAGCTGCTGCTGCTGCTGTTGTTTTGGCTTGGCTTTTTTACCACTCCTGCCGTCATAAGTTCTAGCTCAAGGTTATGAAGTGACATTAGAAATCTGTAGCTCTCATGATGCTTTACTTTGGCAACCTTCTCATTTCTTGTTAGTCCTGTGGCACATCAGGCTCTGGGCCTCTTCTGGGTCTCCTTTGTGTTTTTTTGTTGTGGTTAAATGGATTGTGGTCAGCAAAGTTGGTGCTGGTTTGATCTAGTAAGGGCAAGACTGAAACCAGAATCCATTTCTGACTGCAGTGATAGTGTTTTAATATTTCACATACATAGATGGGGCTGGCAGAATCAGCTGGCCTTGCTAGTTACAGTGTGGCTGTGTGTTGCTTTGTGTTTTTTAGCAAAGGGATCATTAGTGTTTCTCATAACAGGAAAGTCATGCATTTTATGCAGTGAGGTCATTCCATTTTATAATAGTTCTGTAGTGACTTTGTCTTTAGATGGCAAGAGAGTTTCTTTTTATAGTTTTTAAGCTGTGGCTATCTTAAGCCCCATAACATTATGGAAAATCAGTTCATAATACTGCTTTAGAATCAGATACAAACAAGCACTCAGGTAAAAACCATCCAGTTTGCTCCCCCTTGCTGCTGTTCTGTACCCTCAGGTTAAAGTTCCTGATCCTCAGAAGGCTTGTTCCTCCTCCTTGATGGCTGTGTGAAACACAGTCACATAGGAGAGCTGTAAGGGAGAACTTAGCTGAGAGGGAAGGACAGCTTTGTCTTTGAGTTAAAGACTTGTGTGGACCTTATGAGCTGCAAACAGCAGCTGCCCTGTGCTATGAGCTGGGGTGTTGCAGCATCACACAGCTGTAGGAGGGTGTCCACAGAGGGGCCAATGGCCTTTAGGCAGACATTGCCTCTTTTGCAGGGTCGGACAAAGCAGGGCTTCTCTTCCAGCCTGTCCTTCTCAAGCAAGAAGGTTTACAGTCACCACAGCTGTAAGATGGTGTTTTGGGGCAGTGGCTGGCCAGAAATGCATGTGCCTCCATGGCTTCTCGCTCCCAGCTGTCCTTGGTGTGCTTGCAGATGCTGCGTGTTTGCTTCTGAGTGCACACATGGCCAGAGAAGCAGCTCTGCTTCTTTTCAGTTGCCAGGAACAACGACATCAGAACAGCTCTCATCAATTTTATGACAGGCTTTCTTTTATGACAGAAGACCCTGCAGCTGTGCTGATACAATAGTGCATGGACTGCCCTGTGCACTGTAGGGTTTTCAAGGGTGTGATGTATAAACCAGACCACTAAAATGATAGGAGCTCTGGTTTTTTTGGATGGGTATTTTTAGCCTGTATTGTATGACTGATGTGTATGACATACTGTATATGTGTTCATATGGAAAGAAAGAAGGGAAGATAAATTCTGACTGTATGTAGAGTTGTGCCCACAGAAAGAGAATACATTAGGCAAATGATAGGTTACCATTTTGAAAGCCAGTCCAGGTATTTAACAGCTGAGTAATTATTTCATGGCTTCAAAATACCAATATTCGTGGTTTTATGGAACGTGGTAATTGACAACAGTAAGTTCTGCCTGGTGACTGAGGTGATGATACAGACCAGTAATCTTGGAACATATAAACTGTAGGATACAGCACATACGTGAAAATAACCTTTCTCTGTGTCCTTTAGCACAGTGGAATGGAATATTATGTTTGGAGCCAAGGGATAGAGTCAGAACACCAATACTTAACTGTTGCCTTGAGAACTATACCATTACGTGATTGTGAAGTAGTATTTCTTAAGATATCTGTGATTTGAACTACCAGGTTAAAAAGCAAAAAAATTATTATGTTTAATGTGCAGTTAGCTGCCATACCTGTTTAAGAATAAATTTTTTTAAGATAATTTATTGCTAGATAGAAAACTGGATTGAAGATGTGTTGCTGAAATTATTCACTCCTTTTTTTTATTTGAAGGGTGAGCCAGGAAAACCAGGAGAACAAGGACTGACAGTAAGTATCCTTCCCGTTTTCTAAGAAGGTGTAACATGACATATACCTTTTAAAATGAGAAATTTCAGAAAGCTTTATGGCTGTGTATTTGCTGACCTTCCTTTGTCACAGGCTATTTGAGGCCTTATTTGCGAAGAAAACTTAAGAAAGAAAACATCCTCTGTTTAAATACAGTCATCTGTCCCATAAGGCCAACTTCTTTAAGCTTGGAGAAGCAGAAGGAAATAAAACAGCTAAGGGCACAGTGAAACAAAAAAAGAATCAAGCCAGGGGTTCCTAATTCCTGGCCCCTTCTTCACACTGGCTCTGAAGCTCAGCGGTTTCTGCCTTGAGTCAGTTGAGCAGCACAGGAACCATCTACATGTTTTACAGGCCAAAATTCAGTCTGTCTCTGTGGCATGGACTCTGGACCTTTGCCTGACAGAGCAGTGAAGAGACAGCAGTGAAACTGTCAGAAAGTTCTTTTGTTCTGAGCTTTCAGTTTTTTTCCTGTCTGTTTGTCAAACACTTACGATTCATTTGGAATTAAATTGAAGCTCCACTGGTTGTAAATCAGCTTTAGACACAGGTTAAGGCACCATAAGTTTCTGCCTGTCACATATTTCCAGAACAGTGGAACATGCAGTGTTTCTTCTCCCTTAAGATCTCTCTAATGTTCTCTAAACACACTCGTTTTTATTTTTATGAGAGATGACAGATTGTAGCTCAGGGCACGTGGTTTTGATTCCTGAGTGCTTTTGAGGAGAAAGATCATCAGTAATAATCAGCTCAACAATCAGTGCAGATATGATTGCTATCTGAATTTGTGAAGATTTAAACAGGTGAGATGGTATTTTACCTTGACAAATTGCAAAATATTTTCAATTGACAATATCCAATATCTTTTGAAAGAAAAAAATGAAGATTCTGAGACTTGGAATTGTCTGCTGTAATCAGTCCTGTGCTTTTTCATTTCGCAGTAGAGGTTTATCAATTTTAAAATCAAAGCCTCCCAAAGGTACTACCTCATGTTTTAGCATGCTGCTGGGCTCTTTTTTACTCTGTTCTTTTGTTTTCTGAGTGCCTGTGAAGAATAGATGCAATAGCTAGGAAGGGAGCTTTAGTGGTTTGTTTTCTTGTATTTGGAATATTCTCCAGTTTGACCTCTGGACAGAACTCAGGTTCTGCCAAAGTGTCTTGAATCAATTCAAGACCAGATCTGCAGAGTCACAGGATCCTTGAGGGCTTTTAATCCATCACCTTTTAGTCCCCATGTTCAGAGCATTCCCACTGCTCTAATATAACCATCTGTGTGTAAGAACTAAAAGAATACTACTACTATGTTTCTCTAAATGCAGATATGTTTAGATAGGAAGAAAATATGTTTAAAAATCAAATCAGCAAGCTTGAGTTGGAGAAAGATCCCAGCTTACATGAATTTCCAGCTTCAAATGTCTGCTTCAAAAGTCAGTCTGATGGTTTAAATGTTAGGTTATGTATAGATCAAGTAAAGAGCATCAGAGTGTCAGGGAGGTAATTAATTTCTTTTTATTCTTCTTGGTGCTTCTGACATACTCTTTATGCCAGTACAGATTTGCAGACTTTTCTTCCCTGTGGAAAATGTTACAATTATTCAGGGGCTGTTCGGCTGTTTCTGACAACTTCCGTCTTGCATTTCATGTATTTCCATATTGGAAATTCAGATACTGCTCCAGGAATAGCTGATTTCCCAACAGGTATGTTATCAGATTGCATTGCTAGAAAAAACAGTGTATTATGTGATGAGGAGCACAGGCCTTCTCCTGCCTGAGTTTCTTTTTGTGCGTTTTTCACCTATTATCTTTTCAAAGTAAAGGAAAATGGAGGTCTCTGCCCAAAGAGCTTCTGAGTTATTTCTGCAGGAATTATTTTGTAAGGACTTGCCTTTGTTTCACACCAAAAGTCTCTAGTCTGAGTTAGCTTCCTGTTTTTCTTCTTGATGAAATTGAAACTTGGAATTCAGTGAGTTCCAAAAAGTTCTACCAGTCCTGGTCTCCCAAAATTCCATATGTTGGAGTATGCTGTGGTTTCCTACTTGCCCACCTGTCCAAGGCTCTTTCCATTAAGAAGCAAGTACTGTGGCATATATTCTGATTCTTCCTCCAAGATAGAGTGGGATGCTGCCAAGAAGAGCACTAAATGCTGGAAGAGAATCCATAGGTTGGGTGACATGCTGAAGGTTGTGGAAGATGAAGGCTTTTTATGGCCTATAGGGTCACACTCTCTGAGGCTTTAAATCCCATGGTGCTGTTCAAGTTAAGGAGACCAGCAAGCCTGATCTCTAGATTATAATAATGGGGACAGAACATTTTTCTCTTTCAAAAGCATTTGTACACCTGTATTTGGTAGCATGCCTTGGTATTTCTAGATGAATGCACATGTTGATAAAGCTGGCAATTTTAGTATGAACCTGTGAACCAACAACAGCATCGCTTGAAATTATTTAGTTTTCTATTTTCTCACAAAAGAAGGGGAATACATTTCTTGAAGAGTACAAGATATGGCAACAAAAATAGGTAGCAGTGTTTTCCAACTTGTTCCTCAGGGTGTACCACGAGCCTGTGACACACCGCTGAGTAATGAGTGACCTACTGTATGAATCAATACTTACAGGTAACCAGGGCAACCAGGAAGCCTCAGCTGAAATGCAAAGAGCAGATTTATTTCATCACCTTGCTGACAACACCGGGCAGTGGAGACACACAGAGACCCAGCTCTGTTAGGCTCAGTTTATCCTAGTGAAGAGAGACACACAGGAGTACAGGCTCTGTTAGGCTCAGCTCATCCTTGTGAAGAGAGACACACAGAGACACAGCTCCTTTTTGCTCAGTTTATCCTAGTGAAGAGAGACACACAAAGGTACAGGCTGTTAGGCTCAAGCTCATCCTAGTGCACAGCAAGGGTGGGGTGAAGCTGCTGCTGGCCCCAATATGTCAAAGGTTTCCTGCAGGAGCAGTTTCTCATAAGGCTGTGCTTCTATGCTCATTCCTTCTCCCAGCAGAAAGAGGGCTCAAGCATGTCTGTGACAGTGTGTTGTGTTCACACAGGAGTTCTGCTTCTCAAAACAGGCAGAGGATGAACAACAGCAGACGTAATAACTGGAGTTTCCCCACACCAAAATTCTTAGTGTTCTCAGCTGCAAGGTCACTTGGAGTGAAATTATTTCCTTGTTAACAAATCTTATGTGTTGCCTTGATTTTTTAAGATTTCTAAGCCTTCTGATGTTTGCATTCTTATAGCAAACTTTCTCACTATATATACACACTTTCTGTAAACAACTTATTGTTTCGCATTCTTTTATAGAAGAGAAGAAATTTGATGGACTGTTAGTTTGTCCACTGTCATTGGAGAGGTGGCACTTTCACCCTCCAATCCACTATCACCTTTGAAAATCTATAGATATTAGAGGCAGAAAATAAACTTCCCTTTTCTACCTTGAAAGCAGCAGCATGTCTGCATCGTGTTGTTTCATGTCCTATAGCGACACTTATGGGTTTAACCCTTCCCTCCCAACACCTGCAACAATGTGTACCTTGATTTACAGAAACCTGAAATTATTTTAATGCATTTGGAATTCTGGGAATGTTCATGTTCTCCTTTCAATGAAACAGGAAATCCAGTGACTCTAGTGAAAAGATGGCAATTTGCTGCAACTGAGAATCTGTGCCACGTTTTTCTTCATATTTAAAGAAGTTCTGTGTTAGTAAATAAAAAAGAAAATAATGTTTCAGGGTGATGTTTTGAGAGAGGGCAGTAGTAACTTTTCTCCCCCTCAGGCAGAAGAGTTTTGCTTGGATCATATACAGAGAATGACAGTGTTTGAGTTCTCTGACATGAATTCTGCTTTGGCTCAAGAGAGTTCATCTTCAAGACAAAAAATAGCCTTTCTTTTTCCCTATTTCTGTCATAAAAAAAAAAATCTGTGGGTTATGGCATGGTGGTGGGACAATTTAGGATGTGGGAGATGTCAGTTGTTTCTTACAGGAGTCTCTGTTACAAATCATTCCAGGTTGTTCTAGTGCCAGCATGCTTCTTTTGCTAGTCTGTCCTTGCAGTTGAGATGTTTGGGAGAACTCTTTGCAAGGGTTTTTTGACTCTGTACATTGCTGTGTCAGAAAGAATGTTTGCTCTTTGAGCCAAGAAATTTTAGTTTCTTTTTAGGTGAGATGTAGGTTTAGGTTATAAAGATGTGACTGCATGCCTCTAATGTTAGAAGAGAATGAAAGAATGACTTGTAGTTGAAATACGTGTCTGGTTTCCATGACATTGGAAAGCCCGCACATGTACTTTCGTCAGGAGTTGAAGGTATCATTGCTCTGTGCAGAAAGGATTAAGAGAATTCAGGGGGAAGCCAAGCAATGAGGTGACCAAAGGGATTAAGTTTTGAAATATTATGTGGAACTAGAAGAATGTGTGCTACCCAAGAGAGAAGGGCAGTAGTTTCCATAGCTTTTCAACCTTTTCACTTAAAATTGTGTCCTGCCTCTCATAATTCATCCTGCTTTCCCTGCCATTTGTCTGCAATTCTTGGTGATAAGGACTCTTAAGTACCATGCAAGAGTTTTTCCAGTTTATTTTCTCATTTTCAAAGTGAATGATAGATGGATTTGTGATTCCGTTCTAACCAAGAGTTAGGATTTCTGGTTGCAGACTATTCATGAGAAATTAGTCAGTGATGAAAAATATTAAAGGCTGACACTGGCAGATAGACATGTTCAGATCCAAAAACTGCAGTGGGATTGAAGGTGTGCATGGGATGGTTTTGTTCCTAATTTCCATTTAGGAGATCTTTTTTGTGCTTTTATGTGTAAAATATTTTAAACTAGTTCATATTAATAAAAATCTGGAATATTAAAATATGCTATGTTTTCAGCTCCTTTTTTCAGACGTAGATTTAAATATGTTTAGTGTACAACCACATTTGTCAGTGAAAGAAAATCTCAGTGTATTATTTTCTTCCCCAAAATGGGCCTTAAAGACAT